CACAAAATAAGGTATATCTGGTCAAAAAGCACATGAAAAAGTGCTCATCATCATTAGTTATTAAGGAAATGCAACATGAGATACTACCACCTACCCATTAAGATAGCTAAAATGAACAAGATTGATAACACTGAATGTCAAGGAGAATATGGAACTCTCCTTTATTGCTGGTGTGGATATAAAATAATACAACTACTCTGGAAAATTGTTGGCAGTAATTCCACCCTATGTATTTATCCCAGAGAAATGGAAATATATGTCCACAAAAGCTGTATGTAAGACTGTTCATAAGCAGCTTCATTGAGTGAGAAGAGCCCCAAAGTAGAAAACTCTAGTGTGTATGGTAAGAAAAACAAACTAGCAGTTGTCTCATAGTATATTCTCAACACAGACCATTCTGCAAACAGATGTGGGGATTTTCTAACACCAGCTGGGTGACCTACAATTCAATTCTGACACTAACGAGAGTTAGTGCAGCCAGACGCCTCATAGGTTGAAGGCTCAGTTTCACAAGACTACCCCTACTTTAGACACCAACTGTAGGTTCCCAAGTTACTCACAACTTCTGTCCAGCTTGGCTAGAAATTGGAGGTTACCACAACGCCCTTCTTAAGTTTGATGATTTGCTAGAGCATCTCACAGAACACACAAAAACACTGTGTTTACCAGTTATTAAAAATAATATTTTAAAGGATTCAGATGAACAGCCAGATGAAGAGGTACTTTGGGCTAAGTATGTGGAAAGGGGTGCAGAGCTTCCATGCCCTCTCTGGGTGTGCCACCGTCCCAGAATCTCAATGTGTTCAGCAACCCAGAAGCTCCCTGAATCCCTTAGTGCAGGGATTTTTATGGAAGTTTCATCACGTGGGCACAATCAATTATTAACTCAATTTCCAGCCCCTCTCCCCTTCCTGGAAGATGGGGAGTAGAGCTGAATGTTCTAAGCTTCTAATCATGTCTTAGTCTTTCTGGTGACCCACCCCCATCCAGAAGCCCACCAAGAGTTGCCTCATTAGAAGAAAAGATACTCCTGGTACTCAGGAAATTCCAAAGGATTAGGAGCTTTGTGTCAGGAACTGGGGCCAAAGACCAAATATTAGAACAAAAGATGCACCTAGCACCCTGTCATTCAGGAAATTACAACAATTTTGGGAGCTCTGTGCCAGGAACTGGGAGCCGAGACCAAATATATATTTCTTATTATATCACAATATCACACCCAAATGTCCATCAGCAAGAACTCAGATAAACAATCTAGTCTATCCATATACTAGAACACTACTCAGCCATAAAAAGGAACAAACTACTGACACATATAATGGCATAGATAAATTTCAAAAAGCATTAAAAGACACGGAAGAAGACAGACACAAAACACTTTATACTGTATGACTTCATTTATATAAAGTTACAGAATAGCTAAAGCTAATCTATGGTGAACAAGCAGATGAGTAGTTTCTTGTGGATGTGCAGGGGAGGGGAAGAGTGTTGACTTAGAATAGGCAAGAGGGAGGTCTATGGGCTGATGAAAATGTTCCATCTTTTGATAGGGGTATAGGTTATATGTTAACACTTGTAGTCATTTGCCAAAACCAATCAAACTACAGACTTGAGATCTGTACATTTCACTATATATAAATTATAACCTCAAATTTAAAAATCTCACAAGATTTAGCATAGTATTTTCCCATCTCTCATTCTGATTCTCTTTTCTACTTTCCTTGAAGCATTAGCCCAGTCCCACTATACTGAGCAGATTTTTGAAAGTAAAGTTAATTTTATTATCTTTTGATATGTCCACTGTACTCAATAGAGGGCATCATTTGAATTCCAGTTCAATCTTTACTGTTGTTATGGTGAAGAAGAAAAGCCATCAAGAAGAACAAAATGGCATAGCAATGTGAACTTGCGATGATTTGGCAATTTTTTGAAGTTATTTAATCCTGATAAATTCAAATCTCATGAAGTATATTTATTCGTTCATCCTTTCAGCCATCAATTCATTTGCTCTTTCATTCAAGTGAAGGTTATTGAGTCCCTCCTGTGAGTAGATGTCTGACATTGAATGGGCAGGCTTAGATGAGTTCACAACCAAGTCTCTGCCCTTAGGGTTTTTATAGTTTAGAAGTGATACATGCAAAAATAAGTTCTAATGCAACAAGAAATGTAAAGCACTCTACAAACTGCCACTGCGTGTTCTTTTGAAGAAGCAATATCCTTTGCCTGGGGTGCCTGTGGGAAGGTTTTATACAGGAAATGACATTTGAGCGAGGTTTGTAAGAATAGTTTGTCAGAGTTGTGGACGGGAGTTGGAAGAAGGGAGGACGTTTTAAGCTGATGACTAGAAATTTAATTAAATAGTTCAATGAGTCTTTTATCCTCCCTAAACTTTTTTTTTTATTTCAGCATATTATGGGGGTAATCCCTAAACTTTTATGTGAGGATTCTGTTAATATCTACTGATGATAGAAGCCTTTATCATTGGCATAGTTAATGTTTAAATTTGGACACCACAATGTTTATCTTTTTCTTACCAATGACAAGCTAATATCTATTGAGAACAAAGGATGTAACAGGCATGCTGCTTAATGTTTTTATTTCTTTTTTTCTTTTTTATTTCAGCATATTATGGGGGTACAGATTTTAAGGTTTCAATAAATGCCCATTTTCCCCCCTCTCCCCACATGCTTAATGTTTTAATTTAATTTTCACGGCAACTCAATGCATTAATACTAATACCCCTATAAACTGGGAAAATTGAGGGCTGAAGTCACACCCTTTGTAAGTGGCTGGGCTGGAGATTCTTTCCCAGGTCTGTCTGCTTTCAAAGCCTGAGAAAGAGAGAGCAAAGGGCAACTCTGCCATAGTGAGGAGCCTGGGGTCACTTAAAATAGGAAGGATTTCGCTGTTTTCCAAAATATGGCCTGCCCACATTTTGCATTCCTTTTAAGTTTCAATTCAATAGTCACTATTCTTTATAAACTCAAAATAATCTGTTTATTTTTAACCTAACTACGTAATACTTTCTAGTATTATCCTTAGCAATTTGGCGTATGGAAATTTGCTGATTAATCCTTATCTAAGCTTTCTAGAGTATCCATTTTATAAGTTAAATTTAAAGAATCGTGGCAGTAAAAACTGTAACCTCTTTATTGCCATTTTGCTCTTAATGATTAGATTTAGAACCTTGAAGATGTTGCCCTTTCAAAATGACTTGTTATGTAGGCGCTCATGCTTCTCACTACTTAACAAGTATTGCTTAAAGTGTCACGTGGGAACATTGATGTGCTCCACAGCCACTCACAGCTTCTGACAGTTCAGTTTTTGAAAGCCTTGGGAGATCTCTGAGTAGTAAAAGCAGGTGATAATCTAAGATTGTACTCCACTATAAATACGGCAAAGCTTTTCTTTTAAACCAACATGTATTTTTCAGAGTAGAAGATAAATTTTTGACTAAATCTGATTTGCCATAGTCTAAAGTTCCTTTTAGAAACTTGCTTTCTGGTCTATAGTTTTTGCCCAATGATCACTGGACACAGTATATTCACCCTAGCTTCTACCTCCTTCCCAGGAAAGATTGGATTTTTGTCTTAAGATTCCACCAGTATTGAATATTTCCTCTTGCCAAACATCTTATCAAAGGTACATTGTCTGCCTTTGGTGGACTAGCAGAATATGGATTGCTATGCCAAATGGCTATCACCTAACAGTGGAATTAGACAATTGCTAACCATCAGACGCTGGAAAACATTTAATGGAAGTGGGATAATGGGACAGTACCCTTTCAAATGCTGTAGCAGACCAAGGAGTACTTTACGTTCAAGTAATACATTTTTCATGCATATTGATACTGAGCTGTGTGCAAAGATCTAATAGACAGATCTTACCTCAAGGAGCTTATGGTCCAGGAGGAGCTAATCACCTATGTGAATAGGTGATTAATAGAAAATAGACTGATAATGTTTCATAAGAGAAGTACAGTTAAGTGCCATAAAAATCAAATATGTAGTAAAGATAAATCTACAGAGGTATAAGTATAGATAAATTGCTATTGAAGTCTAGAGGAAGAAGAGATTACTTCTGATTTTGGGCTTCAAGATGAAATAAGGTCTGAAAGAAATAAGCTATGTTCTAAAAGGATTTAATTTGAACCTATGATTTTAAAATATCTTATTAGTAAGAAAGTGTAGTATTATGAAAAGAACATAGGCTTTGGACTCAGACTTGCCTGTACATGATCTTTGAACTCTGCCTTTTATTTACAGCTGTCTTACATCATGTCGCTTCATTTCTTTGAACATCAGTTTTCTCTTGTGTAACATCACAGGGGAGTTGTGATGATTTAAATGACTAAATGGGATTATATTTTTTAAAGCACCTAGCAAAATGCCTGGCACCTAACTGCCTTTCAGTAGATGTTAGTTCCTTTTATTCTCCTATCTGACCCATTTCACAGTCGCTTCCATCGCATTGGCTTGTTTTATAAACACGAAGGCAGGGATTCCAGTAGTTCATTTACTCATCAAGCATTTGCCACTTACTTGCCTTGTATGGTGGAAATGCAGAGGAAGGGATTAATTATTTTAAGAGGCATTTCGGAAGTAGAATGGGTAGAACGTGGGAATTCAGGGAAAATCAGGGAATAGAGAAAGGGATAAACTGATTTCATCTAGTATAATCTCTGGAATCAAACTAAGAAAGGGCACATTGACTGCTTTTCTCAGGAAAGGATTAGTCTTAGCTTTAAACATGTAAGGTCTAATAACGTTAGCTGTTTTCTACCTGAAAAATTTGTTTTCTATAAGTTTTGCACCTTTTAAAAAATTATTTGTATCATAAAGGACCCAAGTGCTATATTTGGCATGAATATACATCTCTCCATGAACGCTGAATTTGTTCTAGAAAGCATCACTTTGCACTCTGATTCTAGCTGGCATTGCTGACATCACTAGTACAATTATTGGCTGACTTTGTCCCTTCTTTCTTTTTCTCCCAATCAGTTTGATAAAGGTTACTCTTACAACATCCGTCATAGCTTTGGAAAGGAAGGCAAGAGGACAGACTATACACCTTTCAGTTGCCTGAAGATTATTCTAACCAATCCACCAAGCCAAGGGGATTATCACGGTAAGTGCTTCCACTGGGTATGTTGGCGAAGTACAGAAACCAAGGAGCTCTGTAGGAAACACTGAAACAGTGTAATGGCTTTTTGCATTACTGGCAGGACCTAGTTTGTAGCTTATGTCAGTCATCAGTGTCAAGCTCGAGCTCCATTACTCTTACAGCGATTTGTCTTATTACCGAACTAGGTCAGGCAAGAGAAATTCATTCAGCTGCACTCCAGTTTGTGCTGGACTGGGCTTTTCAGTTCTCAGTTTCTGCCTTCGCCTGCTGTTCTGTCTTTCTCGTGTTCTGCAAGTGTCTTAGAAGACTGATAACAAGTTTTTCAAAGCTTTTTATACTTGGAAAAAACTCTCATTTTAGAATAGATTTATTAATTTCAAAAGGGTAACTGCTAAGGAAAAGGATGTTTTATTCTCATTACTGTCATCTGATTAACAAAGATTTAGTGAACAATTGAAACAAGTAATGATATCAGACGTATCTATCATTTACCTGAGTCATTAGTTTTTTGTTTTTTTTTAAATATATGTCAAATTGCTCTCTGTAGACTTCTAGTTCAACAACTTTTTTTCTAAAAGAATTTTCTAAGCATATCCTGAATAGTACCTCATTTGTCTGGTGTGTCAGAGAGTGTTTTAATGTACCATACTAGTAAATTTTCCAGATTACCAATGCTTAAAACTGTTTTGTTTTAGAATCTTAAATGAAATATAGTTAAAAAAAAAAAAGACCACACACTTTCAGGCTGTTAAATATCAAATAATCACTAAAACAACATTTTTAGAAAGATGTTCCACATGTCCAGAACATTAAAAAATGCCTATACATTCATTATTTAATAGATAGAGAGATGGCCAATACTGGTAATATACATTGAGTGGTTCTTATCACTGTATCATTCCCTTGAGGTACTTTAAGAAATGCAGATTCTCAGGTCCCACCCTTAGATATATAAAATCAGACTTTGTTTGCAAGTTCCCTGGGTGATCTTTATATATCTTCTAAACTTTGGAAACTCTGGATCTGATGCTTGCTCAGTATCTTCAAACTGTGAACTTTGCTAATGCTTCACAACCCTACAATGCCCCCCCCCATCTTAGGTGGGACAGGGTGGCTAGAGGGGACTAGAATTGGGTATTTCCCTTCCCCTAAGTAGATTAGGCTCTGATAAAATAGTTTCTCCTGAGGGCAGACCTTGCCAAGAAGAACACAATGCTCTAGTACTGCAGTCCCCAACCCCCTGGACCACAGACGGGCCTGTTGGGAACCAGGCTGCATGGCAGGAGGTGAACGAGGTGAGTGGTGGGCTAGGAGAGAAGCTTCATGTGTATTTATAGCCGCTCCCCATCACTCGCATCACCGTCTGAGCTCTGCCTCTTGTCAGATCAGCAGCAGCAGCAGCTCTCATAGGAGCGAGAACCCTACTGTGAACTGTGCGCGTAAGGGATCTAGGTTGCATGATCCTTATGAGAATCTGATGCCTGATGATCTGAGGTGGAGCTGAGGCGGTGATGCTAGCTCTGGGGATCAGACGCAAACACAATTATCATTAGCAGAAAGGTTTGACTGCACAGAGACCATAATAAATCAATTCCTTGCAGATTCATATCAAAACCCTATCAGTGAGTGGCAAGTGACCATTAAGCTGCATCTGGTGGCAGGCTTTCTAGTGGCAAGTGAGTCGATGCACTTCAATTGTGCAGCTGCATCTGGTGGCAGGCGTTAAGTCAGAATCCGACACTTCTTTTGGGCCATACATGGCCCGTCCATTATTTTATTTACCACTTTAGTCTGCACCTCTTTCCCACATTGTGCACTTGTCCTAGTCACAGTTTTGGTAAGCCCACAAGCTAACCCTAGCAAAAATGAGTGCAAAACAAATGTCGCTGGAGAACTTCTTTGAAAAGGGGGAAAGACCCAACGATGAGACAGCAAAAGACTCTTAAGACTGCCAACAAAATGAAAGCTACATTTAAAAGAAAATACCAAGAGTCCTACTTAAATTATAGGTTCATTGTAACAGGTGATTCACATTCTCCAAGCCCGCTTTGTATATGTGGAGACCAGCCACCCAAGGGAGCCACGAAACCTTCAAAACTGCTTCACCACGTGAAGACCAAGCACTCAGAATTAAAAGACAAGCCTTAGGAGTTTTCCAAAAGAAAAAAAATGTGAACACGAAGGACAGAAGCAATTACTGAAGGCCACCACTTCATCAAATGTGTCTGCACTGAGAGCATCACTCTTGGTGGCTAACCACATTGCTAAAGCTAAGAAGCACATTACTTTTGGTGAAGAGTTGATCCTGCCTGCTGCTAAGGACATATGCCACGAACTTGTAGGGCGGCTGCAGTTCAAAAGGTGGCACGTGTTCCTCTTTCAGCTAGCATCCTCTTTTGGCTAGCACCATAAGTAGACGAGTTGATGAAATAGCACAGGATATTGAGGCACAGTTGTTAGAGAAGATTAATGAGTCACCATGGTACACAATCCAGGTTGACAAGTCTACCAGTGTTGACAAGGCAACAATGCTTGTTTTTATGCGATGTATTTTTCAGGAAGTTGTGCATGAGGGTATTTTATGTGCACTTTTGTTGCCAGCCAACACCACAGCTGCAGAACTATTCAAGTCTTTGAATGATTACATATCAGGAAAACTGAATTGGTCATTTTGTGTTGGTATAGCTTTCTGGTTTCATTACTCGGGTCAAGAAGGTCGCTTCTGAATGCAAGTCTATGCACTGTGTCATTCATAGAGAAATGCTGGCTAACTGAAAAATGTCGCCTGTACTAATCAGTGTTTTGCAGGATGTGATTAAAATTATCAACTACATTAAAGTACTTACCCTTAACTCATGTCTGTCTGTGCAGCACCCATGAGGATATGGACGCAGAGCACACAGAAGTGAGAGGGTTTTCTGACGGTAGATCACTGGCCAGAGTTTTTGAGTTACAAGAGCCGTTCCGGAGATGTCTTTTAGAAAAGCAGTCACCATTGGCTGCACATTTCAGTGACACAGAATGGGTTGCAAAGCTTGCTTGCTTGTGCGACACATTCAACCTGCTCAACGAACTCAATCGTCACTTCAGGGGAGAACAACAACTGTGTTCAAGTTGGCAGATAAAGTGGCCGCATTCATAGCCAAACTGGGATTATGAGGGCGACGAGTGAACTCTGGGATTTTTGATATGTTTCAAACATTAGCAGAGATTTTGAAAGAGACTGAGCCAGTGCCGCCTTTCTCCCAGCTGGTACATGATCACCTATCTCAGCTTTCAAAAGAGTTTGAGCATTACTCCCCAACCACAAAAGATCCCCCCGAACTGGGAAGGAATGGTTCTGTGACTCATTTGTGAATAAGCTAGGTAACTTGATCAACTTCGTGCTAGAATAGGAACAACTGCTTGAGATTGCAAATGAGGGTAGCCTTAAAAGTATGTTTGAGACAACTTCAAGTCTCCATACGTTATAAATTAAAGTCAAGGTGGAAAATGCTGAGATGGCCACAAAAGCACTGAAAAGCCTGCTTCCATTTCCAACATCCTGTCTTTGTGAAGCAGGGTTTTCTGCAGTGACAGCAGAAATGAGATTATGGAGTAGACTGGACATAAGCAACACACTTTAGGTGTCACTGTCTCCCATCACCCCCAAATGGGACTGTCTGTTTGCAGGAAAACAAGCTCAGGGTTCCCACTGATTCTGCATTATGATGAGTTGTATAATTATTTCATTATATATTACAGTGTAATAATAATAGAAATAAAGTGCACAATAAATGTAATGCGCTTGAATCATACCGAAACCATTCCCCCCACCCCTGATCTGTGGAAAAATTGCCTTCCATGAAACCAGTCCTTGGTGCCTAAAAGGTTGGGGACCACTGCTCTAGTATATTTTGAAATGTTTCCTTTTCTGCTCCTCCCACTGGAAGCATGAGGATATTTTCTCTGCTGTTTACTATGAGGTAGAATTCCTGGAAATAAAACTTACGAAAGTATGGGGGGCCCCCCTAGGATAGGGGTTATGATGGGGGCCTCTTGGAGTTTTTAACACTGAGACATGTCCACACTAAGACTCCAGCAATTTGTCAAGTATAGTTTAGGTTTTCCTACCCTGGGACTGGTTCCATGGAGATTCTACTTGTGGGTTTCTGCTCTAGTAAGTTGTAATTCTCTGTATTTGCCTGTTTTTCTCTCCAATTTGGGGGGACATGGCTTGCCCTGTGACCTCACTTCTCTGTTGGATCTAAGAGAGCTTGTTGATTTTTTAGTTTGTTCAGCTTTTTTTCTTGTTTAGGATGGAGTGGCAACTTCTAAGCTCTTTATGTACCCAACCAGAATCTGGAAGTCAGTCTATCCTTTTTTGTTTTATGGTATTTGCAAAACATTTCTGTCACCTAGGTTGATGTTATTTCATTAACCAACAGAACCTGAAACAGTTGTTCAACCAGTTAAGATTCTACATAGGTATAACTATATTCTGGCCTATGTTTAGTCATTTCTTTCATAAATGTATGTTGGGAAGCTTTGCCAAACAATTAGTTCTAATTAATGTTAGTTGTATATGCATTCATCTCATCTTCTGTTATCTTGTTAGTTCAAGCCTTTCTAATTAGAAAATCATGCCCTTTAATGTGGAAAATAGAGGCAAAGTAGGTGTTGACAAGTTCTATTTTATTTTTATCGTCTATTAAAATAACACCAGCTTCTCTGTTTCTTCTATTAGGGAGCATAGCTTCATAAGACCTTTTTGTGGTCAGTAGCATTTTGGCAATCTTTAGTTTCTTCTTGGCTTCATCCTTTCTGACCTTTCATACAAGTCTAGCCATTATTTAAAATGTAATTTGGATAATTCAGGTTAGTCTGTCTCCTTTTTTTGCCTTTTAATAATTCTAGGCCTAACCAAGAATTCTTTGTGGACTCCCCTTTCTACTCATTGGGATCCTTTGGAATTTTGTTATCAGATTTTTCAAGAACAACAATAGCTAACACATGTTGAGTGTATACTATGTACCAGAAGCATGTAAGAGCTTTATATTCCATTCTCATAGGAAATTTGTGATGTGGGTGCTATTATTTTCCTTACTTAACAGGAAGTAAAGCCTTCTCAACAAAAATATAAAAAATTTGTCGAGGTCTTCCAACTATTAATAGTAAATGGTAGTCAGATTCAAACCCAGGCAGTATAGCTGCAGACTCTGTGTATTACACAGTTTCTTAAGATGTTTTCTTTTACTAAAAATTATTAGTTTTAATCTGAATAAATTATATACATTTCATAGGACTCCATAGTGTTATAATGGATGCTTTTATTTATAGTTAGGATTTTTAGTAAATACATTTGTTTGGCATCTTGGCTCTTTTTTTATTTTATCATTAACCAATTTCCCATTGATTTCATTAAAAATACACAGTTGTTTGTGATTAACTTACAGATCCCTCATCTGTATGACTGAAAAAATTAATCAGACTTTCCTGTATTAAATTTTCAAATAAATAATTTTGATTTACCATTACAGTTTCTTATTAAAATATCTAAAATTTTCTAGATTTTGTCCTAAAACAGCTTTTACATTTCAATCCTTCTTATATTCTTATTTATGCAAATATTTCTAGTAGTCCATCTTTATTTTTCTCATGAAATAATACAGAGATGACCTGTATCTACTATAAGTTGTTTTTCTATGAAACAATTTATTTGTCCATCTCATTTCCTTCTGTGATTCCTTTAAATTTATACATATTCTACTCTACAAGAGATGGGCATAGAATTTACATTTGAAAATCATGTGGAACTTTTATATTTCTCAGAGTTTGCACATTTTTCCTTATATTATCTATCCATATTTGTTATATTATCCCTTCCCTCTTTTGCTTTTTTTTTCATTTTTTGGTTTGGAAAAAGGTTGGGTTTTTTTAAGTTTTTAGGTTAAACTATTATAGCTTTTTGCGATTATTTGTGTTTGTTAGCAAGTAGCATAATTAAAGCTGTTTTCTTCTACCTAGTGGATGGACATCTTAGCCTGAGAATGTGGCAATGTTTTATATAACTCTTGAGCCTGTAGAACCCTGATAACCATACAGCGAAGTTGTCATTTATATAAAGAGAGGAAAGCAGTTGCACCCATGGGCAATTAACTTTTTTATTAATAAGCTGTTAGACAATTAAGGAGAGCTTAGACAGTCTCTTGAGTGTGGTATTGTACTAAGTTCTGGGTAAATAACCTCGTTTCTGTGCTGGCTTATTTTTTGTTGTCAGGGTGCCCATTCCGTCACAGTGATCCAGAGCTGCTGAAGCAGAAGTTGCAGTCGTACAAGATCTCTCCCGGAGGGATAAGCCAGGTAGGTCAGAATCTGTTCTGCATCCTCAGTAATGAGGCATCTGACAGATCCTCCAGTTTTATTGAATGTTCTTGCATTGATGTTGTGTACTACTTGTCAGGCCTCACCCCAGACATTCTGTCTTCAAGATGAATTAAGCTAAAGCCTGGGCTTTCCCGGTTTAGAATCTTTAGAAATTCTAGTTCTTCTGTCTGCTAGGCTGCTTTTTAAAATTTTTTTCTTAGTAATAAAGGAAACTGGAAACCTTCCCCCCGCCTTAATTGGTTTTACTATCTCAATTGAGGACTACATTTTAAAAGTGCTTGTAGACTATGCCACCGAATTGTAGGGCGGGTGCAGTTTCAAAGGTGGACGTGTTCCTCTTTCAGCTACATCTCTTTGGCTAGCACCATAAGTAACGAGTTGATGAAATAGCACAGGATATTGATGGCACAGTTGTTAGAGAAGATTAATGAGTCTATGGTACACATCAGGTTGACAAGTCTACCAGTGTTGACAAGGCAAATGCTTGTTTTGATGCATGTATTTTTCAGGAAGTTTGCATGAGGGTATTTTATGTGCACTTTTGTTGCCAGCCAACACCACAGCTGCAGAACTTTCAAGTCTTTGATGATTACATATCAGGAAAATGATTGGTACATTTGTGTTGGTATAGTTTCTTGTTCATTACTCGGGTCAAGAAGGGATGCTTCTGAATGCAAGTCTACGCACTGTGTCATTCATAGAGAAATGCTGGCTAACTGAAAATGTCGCCTGTACTAATCAGTGTTTTGCAGGTGTGATTAAAATTTCAATACATTAAGTACTTGCCCTTAACTCATGTCTGTTTGTGCAACACCCATGAGGATATGGACGCAGAGCCCACAACTCTCTTATACACAGAGTGAGATGGTTTTCTGAAGGTAGTCTGGCCAGAGTTTTTGAGTTACAAGAGCCGTTCCGGAGATTTCTTTTAGAAAAACAGTCCACTGGCTGCACATTTCAGTGACACAGAATGGGTTGCAAAGCTTGCTGCTTGTGCGACACATTCAACCTGCTCAACGAACTCAATCTGTCACTTCGGGGAGAACAACAACTTGTGTTCAAGTTGGCAGATAAAGTGGCCGAATTCATAGCAAACTGGGATTATGAGGGCGACGAGTGAACTCTGGGATTTTTGATATGTTTCAAACGTTAGCAGAGATTTTGAAGAGCTGAGCCAGTGCGCCTTTCCCAGCTGGTGCATCATCACCTATCTCAGCTTTCAAAGAGTTTGAGCACAACCACAAAAGATCCCCAACCACAAAGATCCCCCAAACTGGGAAGGATGGTTCTGTGACTCATTTGTGAATAAGCTAGGTAACTTGATCAATTCGTGCTAGAATAGGAACAACTGCTTGAGATTGCAAATGACGGTAGCCTTAAAGTATGTTGAGACAACTTCAAGTCGCCATATAGTATAAGTAGTCAAGGTGGAAAATGCTGAGATGGCCACAAAAGCACTGAAAGCCTGCTTCCATTTCCAACATCCTGTCTTTGTGAAGCAGGGTTTTCTGTAGTGACAGCAGAAATGAGATTACGGAGTAGACTGGACATAAGCAACACACTTTAGGTGTCACTGTCTTTCACCCCCAAATGGACTGTCTTGTTGCAGGAAAACAGCTCAGGTTCCCACTGATTCTGCATTATGATGGTTGTATAATTATTCATTATATATTACAGTGTAATAATAATAGAATAAAGTGCACAATGTAATGCGCTGAATCATACCGAACCATTCCCCCACCCTGGTCTGTGGAAAAATTGCCTTCCATGAAACCAGTCCTTTGGTGCCTAAAAGGTTGGGACACTGCTCTAGTATATTTTGAAATGTTTCCTTTTTCTGCTCTCCACTGGAAGCATGAGGATATTTTCTCTGCTGTTTACTATGAGGTAGAATTCCTGGAAATAAACTTACGAAAGTAAGGGGCCCCTAGGATAGGGGTTATGATGGGGGCTCTTGAGTTTTAACACTGAGACATGTCCCACTAAGCTCAGCAATTTGTCAAGTATAGTTTAGGTTTTCCTACCCTGGACTTGTTCCATGGAGATTCTACTGTACCCTATCAGTGAGTGGCAAGTGACCATTAAGCTGCATCTGGTGGCAGGCTTTCTAGTGGCAAGTGAGTCGATGCACTTCAATTGTGCAGCTGCTTCTGGTGGCAGGCGTTAAGTCAGAATCCGACACTTCTTTTGGGCCACACATGGCCCGTCCATTATTTTATTTGCCACTTTAGTCTGCGCCTCTTTCCCACATTGTGCACTTGTCCTAGTCACAGTTTTGGTAAGCCCACAAGCTAACCCTACCAAAAATGAGTGAAAAACAAACGTCGCTGGAGAACTTTGAAAAGGGGGAAAGACCCAATGATGAGACAGCAAAAGACTCTTAAGACTGCCAACAAAATGAAAGCTACATTTAAAAGAAAATACCAAGAGTCCTACTTAAATTATAGGTTCATTGTAACAGGTGATTCACATTCTCCAAGCCCGCTTTGTATATGTGGAGACCAGCCACCCAAGGAAGCCACGAAACCTTCAAAACTGCTTCACCACGTGAAGACCAAGCACTCAGAATTAAAAGACAAGCCTTAGGAGTTTTCCAAAAGAAAAAAAATGTGAACACGAAGGACAGAAGCAATTACTGAAGGCCACCACTTCATCAAATGTGTCTGCACTGAGAGCATCACTCTTGGTGGCTAACCACATTGCTAAAGCTAAGAAGCACATTACTTTTGGTGAAGAGTTGATCCTGCCTACTGCTAAGGACATTTGCCATGAACTTGTGGCCGGGGGGCAGTTTCCCAAAATGAAATAATGCTGTCATTAATTTTCAGCTTCATTAAAAAGCTTCAATGCATTGTTCTAAATTTTATCTTTTAAAATGTAGTCCTCAATTGAGATAGTAAAACCAATTAAGGCGGGGGGAAGGTTTCCAGTTTCCTTTATTACTAAGAAAAAAATTTTAAAAAGCAGCCTAGCAGACAGAAGAACTAGAATTTCTAAAGATTCTAAACTGGGAAAGCCCAGGCTTTAGCTTAATTCATCTTGAAGACAGAATGTCTGGGGTGAGGCCTGACAAGTAGTACACAACATCAATGCAAGAACCTTCAATAAAACTGGATGATCTGTCAGATGCCTCATTACTGAGGATGCAGAACAGATTCTGACCTACCTGGCTTATCCCTCCGGGAGATCTTGTACGACTGCAACTTCTGCTTCAGCAGCTCTGGATCACTGTGACGGAATGGGCACCCTGACAACAAAAAATAAGCCAGCACAGAAACGAGGTTATTTACCCAGAACTTAGTACAATACCACACC